AGTAGCCTCTAAGGTTCCTTTGTATTTCTGGGGTGGTGGCTGTAAATTACCCTTTTTCTCTTGATGAGTCTGGCTAAAAGCGTATTAAGTTTGTTTATCTTTTCAAAGAACCAGCTTTTTGTTTCATTGATCTTTTCTATTTATTTTTAATCACATTTATTTCTGCTCTGATCTTTATGGTTACTTTCCCTCTGCTAACTTGGGTTTTGTTTGTTCTTTCTCTAGTTCCTTTAGGTGTAAGGTTAGACTGTTGGGGAATTTTCCAAGTGCACTTGAAAAGAATGTGTATTCTGCTGCTTTCCGATTGAATGCTCTCGATATATCAATTAAGTTATTGAAGGCCTGTGTTTCTTATTGATGCTCTGGATGATCTGTCCATGCCTTCTTTATTTGTAAAATCTCTTTTCTGGTAGGTTTCTATCTTTTTCATCAATGGTGGTTCAGCAGATAGTTGTGATTTTCATGTGCTCAGGAGAGGAGGTGAGCTCAGGGCCTTTCTACTGTGCCATCTTGGCTACTCTCCCCTTTCCTTTTGCTTTGATATATTACTGATAATTTTAATGAAACGTCTACAGGTTTTAAGAGAAGTTTTATTAAAATTATGTTAGACTAACTATCAGTATAACTGCAGTTCTCCAAAGTGAAGAAATAAAGATGAATTCTCCTCTGTAGGCCACAAAAATAGAAGTTGTCAGAAATTCTGTCATTTCTTGTCACTGAAGAACAAGAGTTTAAAACCTTGAAGTAAATGATTTTTCTAATTGCTACTGCTTCGTTAGTTCAACAGGAGAATTATGGCTGTCTGTCTTCCAGTGTGTCAGAACACCATCAGGCGAGGCAAAGGCTAGCATGCCTTAAAACAACCCCTCACGGAGAAGGGGCACACAAGAACGGGGAGGGAGGCAGGGCCGCCAGAACAAACTTGGCTTTTAAACGGCCTTCTGACAGCAGTGTAGAAAAAGCCACATAGCAATGGAGGAAGTGTGAGAGAACCCATCAGCGACTGACATCCAAGTAGGTTTTAATGACTACATTGTCTACATGAAACTAATATAATACTGTAAGTCAACTATACTTCAGTTCAAAAAAATAAGGATAGACGAGCTGAGGATAAATGGCCTGCCACCAGGAGCACTGCATCAGCAGGTAAGAGGCAGCAAGGTGGCAACCAGTGTCCTCTTCACAGGGCACTGAGCTCTCAGGCATCACTTACTAATCCAAATGCCAGGTGATTACACTACTTTCCCTCCTGTACTGAGTCTGTGACATGAGACTGGTTATTTTAAGGGAAGATGTTTACCTGGTTTGAATGGTGTAGAAAATAGATTCAGGGTGTAGCCCTTTGGAAGAGCCACTGGTAAGGTCTCTTAAAGGCATGTCTCATTACAGACTAGAAAAATCGATAGGAACCTGTAAAACATGGTGAACTACAACTACATAAGTGAAGGGGAAAAAAACAAACCACAGCTGGGGGAGAGTCTAAGGACCCAGGCTTCACGAGTGTCCTAGCTTAAAATACCTGAGATGCAGAGTAGAAAATACTGAATCTACTGAACTACAAACTGCATGTCCAAAAGCAAGGGTTTT